TATCCTTCCAGCATACCAAAGATAACTATCCTTTGCTACCTTCATCTACCTTCCAGGACCTTGCTCCTTGTAGTTTCAAAACCTCTAGACAAATGGAAGAAGGGTCTGTAAGGGCAATGACTTGTATTTCATTTTTGTATCCTCCAGTAAACATTCAATAAGTATTTTTTAAAGATGAAATTAGTTACTTGGAGCTTTCTATTAATCAACCTTGAAATATTTCAAGTTATATATTGTGGTGCAGTGAATTACTTGGTATGGCTTTTCTAGCCAGTCTTTGTGACTCCCATAGATTACTTACTGGGTGCGACCATTCAAATAAGGTGTATGGAACGCTAATGTGAGGACTGGTTAGTTTTGCTACGCTGCTGGGCTTAAAATGAGCCCTCCTAGAGGCAGAAGAGGGGATCTCACTGCCATCAAGAGAGAATAGCCGGAGGTGGAGTGGAGCAGAGTGCATCCTTGGACCTGAGATTCCTGTGCTGGACCTCCTTGGCAGAGTCGCCTAGCAGAGAGATGGCGGCAGAGGAACCAAGAGGCACAAGTGGGGTTCATCTAGGTGTACTTAACATCAGAGCTACAAGAGCTTTGTAACACTCTTGCCAGAGCACAGCAGAGGCCGTGCTGAGAAGCCAACAGCCAGAGATGCATGCCTGAGGGCACAGAAGAGGGGAGACTGGCCTGATCAAAGAATTGTATCCTGAGAGCTTTTCTGAACCTGAATTGTAACCTGTTACCACCCTAATAAACCCAATGATCGTAACTATTGCCAGTGAGTTCTGTGTGGCCATTGCAACAAATTATTAAACCCAGTAGAGAAATAGTGAGTGCAGTGGGAGGGTGGTGGCATGTCTGGCCTCATAGGAATAAGCCTTGGGCTGCTGACTGTGATTCTGTCTCACCCTTGTGAGGTTGGCTGAAGTCAAAAGATGCTGCCTTTGTGCACTTTTTGCATATATAAACAAGCAATTTGACAGGAATATTCTAATATGTAATTACAATATGAGGCTTTAAACTTTAAATCTCTAGATCTACTACTCCTTAAGCTTCAACTGGCTGACCAGACAGTTGTATAATGATATAAGCTGTAGAAAACTCAGTTATTATATTTGCCTTTAACTTCAACTATTTTATTTTGTTAACTATTTTCATCATGTTAAATTTAGCAATTCCTTCCTTCACAATCCCTTTTCAAATAGGTTTACATTTGTGCATTAAAACTAGTTCTATTTTAACTTCTCTGAATAAACTAGATTAATCAAAAATACAAGAGGAGGGATATTTTTTCTTGTATCAGTTCAGCAGTACCTACTTCAATTCTCTATATTAAAATGAAGTTCATTAGCATTAAATATAAAACTTTAAATGTTTTACCTGAAGAACAACAACTATCCAGGTCAGTTGGTTATATCCCTGAAAAAATCCATTCTTTGATACCAATTCACCATCATAAATGTATACACCCATTAATCCAAATATACTCCCAAAGAAACCTAAAAAAACATATAAAGTTGGTCATATGTCACTTAGTTTGTCCAAAGAGATACTTATCCTTTGATAGTCTAAATACTTTCATATTTAGCTTTTCCTTTATGATAAAATTTGATCACTTTATTTTTATTTGGATATTTATATAAACTTAACAAAAGTATACTTACAACTGCAAAACAAAGATTAGGAATATAAAAGAGAGTAGAGATTACTAACTTTGGAGCACTAAAAACAATACAATGTAAAAATTACATGATTGCATGGCTGTCCCATAAAACTTCTGCAAACTTTTGGTATATTTCATTTTATCTTGGATCTTCCTATTGCTGAGTCTAGATTTTTATATATTCATATTCAAACATGCATATATACAACTCAGATACGTAGTACAGCATTTTCCCTTGTTGTTGTTATGTGCTGTCAAGTTGGACCCGACTCATAGCGACCCCTCCTTGGGTTTCTGAGGTAGTATCACTACAGAAGTAGATTGCCCAACCTTCCTTCCGAGGAGTGGCTGGTGGGTTTGAACCACCAGCCTTCTGGTTGGCAGTCAAATGCCTTACAAGAGCTCCTGCATTTTCCCTTAATTTCTAAAAATACAACGAGTACTACTGAAAAATCAGAACTAAGAAATAGTTGCTCATAGGCAAAGCCAGACTGTTCTTAGTGAAGTATCACTATTAGAGAAAGTAGCTCAGTGAGAGTAGGGACTATGTCTTGTTCACCACTGAATCACACACCTCTACATCAAAGCCTGTTACATAATTATGGAATTTAACTGATTTTCAGGAATACTTGTAGGCTATCAATAAAGAAATGGATGCCTACCCACCTTTTCTGGGTAGTTTTTAGTAAGATATGCAGCCAAGGAGTACAAAGTGAAGTAGTTTTCTGACATTGTGAAAATGTCAGTTCTACCCAAAGCAATCTATACATTCAATGCAATCCCAATCCAGATCTCATCAACATTCTTTAGGGATATGGAAAAACCAATCACTAACTTTATATGGAAAGGAAACAGATCTTGGATAAGCAAAGCACTATTGAAGAAGAAGGACAAAGTAGGAGTTCTCACACTGCCAGATCTCAAAACCTACTATACAGCCACAGTAGTCAAAATCGCCTAGTATTGGTTTAATGACAGATACATAGACCAATGGAATAGAATTGAGAACCCAGAAATAGATTCATTGACCTATAGTCAGCTGATCTTTGACAAAGGCCCAAAATCCATTAAATGGGGAAGAGAATGTTTGTTTAATAAATGGTGCTGGCAAAACTGGAGATCC